GCTATGAGGATATAAAATTTGTGGGTGGAAAAGTTCAGGATTCTTTTAGGGATGCATGCTTCGAAATGGGCTTTCTTAACGATGACAAGGAATATGTTGCAGCCATCGACGAAGCAAAGAATTAGGGTTCCGGGCATTTTTTACGAAAGTTATTTGTCACTATGTTACTATCTGGTACTGTCAATAGACCACGACATGTTTGGGAAAAAACTTGGAGGACATTATCTGATGGTATCCTCTACCAACAAAGGCAAAAAACAAATAGAAGAGGTATGAACACTTTATTAAACTTTTTTAAGTCAACAAATATTATTTTCCGAATGCAAGCTGTATCTTTTTTTATTACAAAATATAATGATATGAACTTACTTTAAAATATAATTATTCTTCATCCAGATGTCCCTTATTTAATATGTTTCATAAGGTATGTCCATTTACGTAAGAAACATTTTCATATTTGTCATTTGTCATGTATGCAAGTTATTTTCTTAACTTGCAGCTGCAACAGTGTCTTTGGTTCCATTTAATTTCACGCAGCCGCAACATCAACTGTTTGATTTATGTTCAATGTATTTCAACATCACGACAACAGTTGCATCATACATATGTAATTATATAGAAAACTAATGAAATTTTTTTAACAAAATTGAAGCTATCAGACAATGAGTTAAAGAATCTCACACTAATTGAGATTGAGAACATGATGCAATCGAATCGAAGAAGTTTGCATGAATTTAAATGTATGCTGTATCCAGATTCATACATCACAAAACATGTTGGCAATATGCTTATTTATGACGAACTTAATTACGATGCCGATACCGAGAAACAGAAATTCCAAGAACTTTTTCATGCCCTTACAGGTGATTTATTTTCTTTATACTATGAATTACAAAAATGATTTTTATTGTCCTTGCACTTATAATTATTGGTTTGTATTTTATAGATGAACAACGTTTGATATTTGAGAAAATCATGGATGCTGTTAACAAACAGAGTGGATGGGTATTTTTCTTGCATGGTTACGGAGGGACTGGTAAAACTTTCATGTGGAGAACACTATCAAGTGCACTTCGTTCTCAAAAAAAATTGTTCTTACTGTTGCTTCAAGTGTGATAGCTTCGTTATTATTGCCGGGTGGAAGAACAACACACTCAAAGTTCAAAATACATGTGCCAACGCTTGACAACTCAACTTGCAACATCGACAAAGACACCGAACATTCTCAATTATTTGAAGCAACGGATGTGATAATATGGGATGAGGCACCTATGTCTCACAAGAACTACTTAGAAGCATTGGATAAAACCCTTAAAGATGTAATGAGCAAAAAGGGTGTTGAGAATACTATTTTTGGTGGAAAAGTTGTTGTATTTGGAGGAGATTTTAGACAGATTCTTCCTGTTGTTCCAAGAGCTGGGCGTTCTGATATTTTTCATGCATCAATTAGTTCATCTTATGTATGGGATTATTGCCAGGTTTTAACACTATCAAAAAATATGAGACTTCAAGAGGGAAGAGACAACACAAGTTCTAATGAACTAACGGAATTTTCAAAATGGATTTTAAATGTGGGTGATGGTAAGATTTGTGAACCCAATGATGGTTTGTTTGATATTGAAATTCCTCAAGAGCTATTAATATCAAATTTTGATGATCCTATAAGAGCAATTGTTGAAAACACATATCCCAATTTGTTGGAAAAATATCAAGATGTTGAATTCTTACAAGGAAAGGCTATTCTTGCTTCAACCATTGAAGTTGTGGACAAAATCAATCATTATGTATTAGACTTGATACCAGGTACATGTGTTTTATATTTACTGTATTATTACATTCATAATATATATATATATATATATATATATATATATATATATATATATATATATATATATATATATATATATATATATATATATATATATATATATATATATATATATATATATATATATATATATATATATATATATATATATATATATATATATATATATATATATATATATATATATATATATATATATATATATATATATATATATATATATATATATATATATATATATATATATATATATATATATATATATATATATATATATATATATATATATATATATATATATATATATATATATATATATATATATATATATATATATATATATATATATTTAAGAACATAGTTTTACTAATTTATTTATATTTTGCTTTTAAACTTTTTTTTAGGAGAAGAGAAAGAGTATTTGAGTTTTGATTCCATTGATAAAATAGATTCAAGTTATACTGAAGCATATGAAGTTCTAACTCCTGAATTTCTCAGTAAATTAAGAACGTCAGGGCTTCCCAATCATAGGATCAAATTGAAGGTTGGTACACCTATTATGCTAATGAGAAATTTGGACCAAGCCGATGGATTGTGCAACGGAACAAGATTAATTGTTACAAGATTTACAAATCATGTCATTGAGGCAAAAATCATGTCTGGAAAGAACATAGGTAACATTTTTTACATTCCACGAATGTCTATGTCACCTTCTGATTCACCTTGGCCATTCAAGTTGATTAGGAGACAATTTTCGATTATTGTCTCCTATGCAATGACAATTAATAAGTCACAAGGTCAATCTCTTGATAGTGTTGGATTGTATTTGCCTACTCCTGTGTTTAGTCATGGTCAATTATATGTTGCAATTTCAAGAGTTAAGAGCAAAAGTGGGCTAAAAATCCTAATTCATGACAAGGAGAATGTACCGTGTTCTACTACTACTAATGTTGTGTACAAGGAAGTCTTTCAAGCACTTTGATAGTTGGTAAACTTTATATCTTATACTTTACGATTCAAATTAAAAATCTATTTTGAATTAAAATATATAGTATGTACATTTTCCATGTATTTCAAGAAGTATATAATTTTTCCTATTTGTTCATGCAGACGTGATTTGTTGATAGGACCGACGCTTGCTACAAATATGGAGTTAAATGCCAACATGGTTTACATGAGACATATACTCAACTGAAAACATGGTAACATACTTAATAATTTAATAATCTATAAATGTAATGTGAATCCAGACGAGACCCGTGCGATAGCACGGGTTTGTTACTAGTAATTTGATAAAATTGTTATTCTTTTTCTTTCATTTATTATATTTTTTTAATTTGTGTGAAAGTGTCAAATATGATATTTATTTTAGAACGGAGAAAATATCAAATTATTTAAGAGTTTAATTATTATATACTGTAAATGTAATAAATTTTATAATATCACTCTATCACAAAATAACAATAAAAAACGATCAATAAATTAAAAATAATGCTAACATGTGTCTTAACAACATTAAATAAAAAAAATTATCTTAAAAATTGTATATTAAATTTATTATAAATATATAATTAATTTTATTTTAGACAAACTTTCTAAATATAGATTGATTTCTTAACATGATGTTAGCATTACCAGTTTTTTAAATGGATAGTTCACTTGGTTGAATTAAGGAATAAATAGAGTTAAGAAATTAATAGAATAGCGTTGGAATTGGCAAAGAAATAACTATACTTCTTTGGAAAAAAAAAATAATGGTGTATCATAAAGGTGAATTCAATTTCATATTCCATTCCATTAATATTTCATGGTGTATTTCACTATACTTCACTCTAAATTATTTCTTTGCTTTACATTTGTGTGCCGAGAACCACTATATTTATAAAAGTTAATGTAGTTTTATAAAAGAGATTAAAAATAGTATATTTTTAGAGTAAATTAATTTTATATTATTATTCAATAAAATTATAATATTGAATTATGTTATATCAATATTTTAAAATTTAAAAAAAAAAATTTATCGAGATCTACGTCCGTGTAAAAATACTTTACAGATTAAGTTGATACTCTTTTTTCTCTTTATAAAATTACAATGATACATTCTAATTTTGAGAAATTCACCAAACAGTCAAACATGTTGTGTGAAAATAAAATAAAAAAGTCTATGCATTACTATAATAAAATAACAGCTTATTTGCAATAGTTAGATGGTTTGACTAAAAGTGAATACGTGTATAGTTGAAATAGAAAGTCCTTGTATGCATGCAGAACCAAAAACGGTTGAGATAGTGTATACAATTGCATCATCTCGTAGTCATAATCATAAAATACAGCTCAGCCTCACTAACTAAACCGCGGCAATTTACTTTGCCAGCATTTCCCAAACCGTGTACAGTTACCACAATTGGCATCACCAAACTCTATTACTTACTAGTATATTGTTTCTAATTTAATCAATACTCTAAGTACATTCTTAAACTTTTTTTATTAAAATGTTGTCACAAGTGTCCAAAATTTGCCAACCTTTTGTTGTTTAAGATGCTGAAGATGGATTAATTATGTCCTCAATTCGCCAGCACTTTGATGTTAACTTGTCGATTTATCATAATTATTAAAGTAAAAATGATTTGTTCTCAATTGTTGTTAACCTCTGATTAAGGAATATGGATCGTAACACAGAAGCATCGTAGAAAGAAGTCAAATACAATTCAACACGTTCTTCTCATCATTCCAAAACCATTTCTTTGAGTTCATTTTAGTGATTTAATGAGTTTTCATTTAATAATATTTTGTTTTAATTATAGTTACAAACCAGTGGAACAAGTTGAGTTACACTAAATAAAACTAAAGATAAATAAAATAATAATAATAATAATAATAATAATAATAATAATAATAATAATAATTATTATTATTATTATTATTATTATTATTATTTATTATTATTAGTTTAATATTAGTTTAATAGATATGCTTTCTCACCTACAAAATCTATCTTATCTTTCCCATATAAAAACCCAACCTAAGTCACACAAATAAATCAAACCAAACCAATAAACAAAAACAGTTTGAGAGCAAATTCCAAACTCAAAAAGCACACATTGTTGATTCCTCTGTTCCCCTTTCCATAGATACTATTATAAGCTACACTCCAGTCCAGACCAAATCAATGGATACTATCAAGTCCTTCAAAGGTTACGGCAAAGTAGACGAACTCGAACAACAAGCATTCAAAAAAAAGACACGTAAGCGCATCACTATCATAATCATCTCCTCCCTCATTCTAATCGCAGTCATCGTAGCCGCGGTCGCAGGAATCCTCATACACAAGCGCAACACCTCATCAAACCCCTCCCCCAACTCTCTCCCTAACACCGATTTAAACCCTGCCACGTCACTCAAATCGGTTTGCGACGCGACTCAGTATCCCCACTCCTGCATAGCCGCAATCTCCTCCCTCCCGGAATCCAACACCACCGATCCAGAGAAACTCTTCAAACTCTCTCTTAAAGTCGCAATGGATGAACTCTCAAACCTCACGCGCTTAAAGCTCAAAGCGAGTGGAGACACGCGCCTTGAGAAAGCTATAGCAGTTTGCAGCTCCGTTCTTGAGGACTCGCTGGATCGGCTGAATGATTCAATGTCGATGATAATCGCCGATGATAAGATTCTCTCGCCGGCGAAGGTTCGTGACGTTGAGACTTGGATCACCGCTGCATTAACAGATCACGATACATGTTTAGACGCTGTTGGTGAAGTAAACTCCCCCGCCGCGCGTGGTGTTTTAACACAAATTGAAACAGCCATGAGAAACTCTACCGAGTTTGCCAGCAACAGTTTAGCGATCGTATCGAAGGTTATAAGATTATTATCAAATTTCGAGATTCCGAGCCACCACCGGAGGTTGTTAGAGTTTCCGGAGTGGTTAGGAACGGCTGAGAGAAGGCTTCTGGCGGATTCGGTGAACATGACGGTGGATGCGGTGGTGGCGAAGGATGGTTCTGGACAGTATACGACGATAGGGGAGGCGTTGCAGAATGTGAAGAAGAAGAGCGATGTGAGATTCGTCGTGTATGTGAAGAAAGGGATATACGTAGAGAATATCGATTTGGATAAGAATACGTGGAATGTGATGATCTACGGTGATGGTATGACGGAAACCATCGTCAGCGGTAGCCGGAATTTCATCGACGGCACACCGACCTTTGAAACTGCCACGTTCGGTAAATATTTATATTTATATTTATTTTCATTTTATTTTTTTATACAAAAAATGATATTTTAATATTACTAAAATTAAAAAAAAAAATTATATTGTTTTAAACAATAAAACAAAATGATATTTGAAAATTGATTTTTTTGTTCTTAGTTAAGGCAATTTATACTTCCATCTATAAATTTGGTTATTAATTATTACAGTACTAGATATCCGTATAATAATATGCATTAATAATTTCTTTTATTAAGCACTGCAATTAATTTAACTGTGTGCAAGACATTAATTATTAAAAAATGCATAAAAATTGAGTTTTTTTTTTTTTGTTACCTTGAATGAAAGTGGTTATTTATATAAAGATAACAAAGTGTTTTTCTTAATTGTTTGTAATTTATTGAAAGACTATGTTGATTTATTATTAATTAATTTGATTGTACTTCAAAGAGTTTATAAGAAGTCTTAAAATTTATAATAAAATGTTGTACAAAAAATTTATGGTTAAATACGTTTTTATAAAAAATTTAGGATTAAATATGTTTTTATAAAAATTTAGGGTTAAATATGTTTTTATTTATGAGTTTTCAAATTTAATTCCTATTAAATTTTAAGTGAAATATTAGCTCTCCCAAGAAATTAAAGTCTGTAAGAATAAGCTTTATTTTAATATCTTTATTACCAAATATTTTTAATCTTTAAAATAGTTCTTATAAAATAAAAATAGAAAATAAATTTTGGTAATTACTATATTTTATGGGTTAATTTCAAAAGCTTGTAATATTGAAAATTAATTTTAGATTCAAAAGGTCAAATTTCTAAGTTCTAGTTAGAATTAATTCTTGAAACAAAGTCAAATTTACTCAAAATCGTCTAATATGAATTTTACTCCTCTATAATCAATTTTGACTACTTAAGAAATTGAACTAAACATACACGCTTAGTTTGGATTTGTGCAAAATGGTTGAAAGGATGAACTATATAGGAATCAATTAGCTTGTTTTATTATCATGGGAACAATTCAAGTTTAATGGAAAAGCATGTGGCATGTGCTTTAGTGGGAAATATCTTGTCTGGGGAATCACATGCTTATTTTCAATATCATCATGTGAACTTGATCCAATCGTAGGTCCATGAGATTTGTTGCCTGACCCATCTTTCATTTTCTAAGCCACCAAGAATCATGCTGTTTTGTCTATGAAAAATATATATTTTGATGAGGCATTCTTCCCATCTTCAATGTGCATACCCCCATGTGGATTCCTGTTTTACATCCACATCAACAATAATATCCTTATTTTCCACAAATGTGTTTGATTGGATTTGCACTAAGTTTAATATGATACAATAGTTCAACATAGAATCATGATGCATTCATACTAATAGGGGTCATGTTGATTTTTTTTTTTGCAGCTGTTAAGGGCAAGGGATTCATTGCCAAGGACATACAATTCGTGAACACTGCAGGTGCATCTAAGCACCAAGCTGTGGCATTTCGATCTGGCTCAGATCAATCTGTGTTTTATAAGTGTTCATTTGTGGGATATCAGGACACCCTTTACGCGCATTCAAATCGTCAATTCTACCGGGAATGTGACATTACAGGTACCATAGACTTCATATTTGGAAATGCAGCTGTTGTGTTCCAGAATTGCAAAATCATGCCTAGGCAACCGCTATCAAATCAGTTCAACACCATAACAGCTCAGGGTAAGAAGGATCCAAATCAAAACTCTGGAATTGTGATCCAGAAATCAACTATCACACCTTATGACAATCTCGTAGCGCCAACTTATCTTGGTAGGCCATGGAAAGATTTCTCCACCACTCTTATCATGAAATCAGAAATTGGCTCATTCTTGAAACCAGTGGGGTGGATAAGTTGGGTTGCTAATGTGGAACCTCCAAGTAGCATCCTTTATGCTGAATACCAGAACACTGGGCCTGGAGCAGATGTAACCCAGAGAGTCAAATGGGTCGGTTATAAACCCGCTATTGCAGACGAAGAAGCCTCGAAGTTCACAGTTGAGTCCTTTATACAGGGCTCTGAGTGGTTGCCAAATGCTGCTGTGCAGTTTGAATCTACCTTGTGATTTCATACATTACTGACCCAATACCATCAAATTTATTGTCCTATCACACACCCTTGTAAGCTTTAACTTATATTGCACTCATTTTTTTGACCTGCTTTTGTATGGTTTGTAAAATTAATAGTTTATGCAGTTTGGAAAGATTTCAAAATCAGAAAATCGAACATATTTTAAAGGGTTTATAGCACTTTTTCTCCGTCATATGGCTGATTTCCGTTTTATCCATGTAAAAAAAAGTTGAGATTTCAAACTTATTATGTGAAAGATCTGTTGTTTAGAACTTTTACTGATTTGATTGATAAAATCAGTGTAGTATCTAACAGGAATATGCATGGAAAATGGTGCAAAGAAACTGATAGAAAGTACTGATTGTATTAAGAAAGGGCTAGAGTTCAAATGGGATCTAGCAGAATCAGTACAATAAAAGGCAGTAGCAGCAAAAATAGAAGGAAACTAGTAGAGGCACTTTGAGATGCCTTATCTCTCCTAGGAATCAGATCCACTCCAGTATTATCGTACCTCACAAATGATTGGGACTCAATCATTTATGGAATTATTCCTAGATCCTATTACCACTCAGTTGCTGCCAACTGTCCCCTCCCATGTGCTTCTGCTAACAGAATTTGTCCTATTCTCTCTCTTTCTCTTTCCTACGTTTCCTCACATAATGCCTCTTATATCTACCAATTCCCCTCCCTTCAAAAACTTCCTTGACCTCAAGGAAGAAAACTGGAAATTCTTCTTTTAACTTTTCAGCTAACTCCCACGAATTCTCGAATTCTGGAAGATCTTTCCATTTCACTAAAATCTCCCACTCTCCTTGATCATTCCTCCTGTAATCCATTACTTTTTCAGGCACAGGTTCCAAATACCAATCCTCATTCATACAGTCTGGTAAGGGTTGGATTTCTGCAGAGGCACTGATAGCTTTTTTCAGTAAGGAAACATGGAATACTGGGTGTACTTTAGCATCAGCAGGCAACTTAAGCTTGTAAGCTACCTCTCCCACCCTTTTAATTACCTCATACGGTCCATAAAATCTAGGACTTAGTTTCTGGTTCAGCCTTTTAGCTAAACTCTTCATTTTGTAAGGCTGGATTTTTAAGAAAACCTTATCTCCCACTTCATAAACCACCCCCCTCCTATGCTTGTTTGCTTGATTTCTCATCATATCTTGTGCCTTGAGTAACTGCTCTTGTAGTTCCTTGATCATCAAGTTTCTCTCCATTGTCAATTTACTGATTTCATCAACTGCAGATCCAGGGGTATCCCCTCTAATTAACACTGGAGGAGCCCTTCCATATAGTGCCTCAAATGGAGTGGTCTTTAGTGAGGCATGGTAGTTGGTGTTGTACCAATATTCTGCCCATGCTAACCACTTTGGCCATTGCTTAGGTTTGAGCCCTGTAACACACCTCAGATATGTATTTAAGCACCTGTTGACTACCTCTGTTTGTCCATCAGATTGAGGGTGGTATGCACTACTATATTTCAACTTAGTCCCAGCCAACTTAAATAGCTCCATCCAGAAATGGCTAAGAAACACTTTGTCTCTGTCAGACACTATGGAGCTAGGGAATCCATGCAGTCTAACCACTTCTTGAAGGAAAACTTCAGCAACACTCTTGGTCGTATAAGGATGGCTAATTGGAAGGAAATGAGCATACTTAGAAAGTCTATCCACCACTACCATAACAGTGTCTACTCCCTGTACCTTAGGTAAACCCCCTATAAAATCCATTGAAATATCACTCCATACTTGTGTGGGAATAGGCAAGGGCTGTAGTAATCCTCCGAGTGTCAAGGTTTGATACTTATTCCGTTGACACACTTCACAAGCTTGCACATACTCTTGAATCCTCTTTCTCATACCCTCCCAATATACCACACTACTAATCCTCTTGTACATCCTGAGATATCCAGAATGCCCTCCTACTGCTGTATCGTGGAATTCATTCAGAATCCAACTAATTCTAGGGGATCCCTTAGGCACCACTATTCTTCCTTCATAATAAAACCTTCCCCCCTTAAGTTGAAACCCCTTCTGACTGAGAGGATCTGCTAAAACAACATGCAATATCCCCTTCAGCTTCTCATCCTGTTGTACCTCCTCTTCTAATCCATTCCAAGCTTCACTTTGGACAGTAGTTATGTGAGAATACTGTATCTTTCTGGAAAGGGAATCTACTGCACTATTTTCCCTTCCAGGCTTATACTTCACCTCAAAATCATACCTTATCAGTTTAGATAACCACTTCTGCTGTTCTTCCCCCATCACCCTCTGCTCTGTTATAAATTTTAAGCTTTTCTGGTCAGTATGCACCTTGAAATGCTTGCCTAATAAATAGGGTCTCCATTTCTGTATAGCTATGACTATAGCCATGAGCTCTCTTTCATAAACTGACTTTTGTTGGGCTTTAACTGTTAAAGTTTGGCTCATGTATGACACATGTCTTCCCTCCTGCATTAACACTGCTCGAATGCCTTTACCTGAAGCATCAGTCTCCACTACAAACTCTTTTTCAAAATTCGGCATAATCAAAACTGGAAGAGTGGTCATTGCTATCTTTAGTTCATCAAAATCCACTTGTGCCTCTGTACTCCAAAGGAAACTGTCTTTCTTCAGCAGCTGAGTAAGGGGCCACGCTATTTTTCCATAATTCCTCACAAATTTCCTGTAGTAGCCAGTTAGACCTAAGAATCCTCTTAATCCTTTTATATTTTTTGGAACTGGACATTTGATCATATCTTCTATCTTTCTGGGATCTGCTGCTACTCCTTGGGAAAATATTAAATGCCCAAGATACTCCACCTCTTCTTGACCAAAAGAACATTTCTTTTTGTTAGCAAATAGCTGGTTATCCTTCAAGACTTGCAATATGATAGTTAAATGCTCTTTGTGTGCTTCTCTATTCCTACTATATATGAGAATATCATCAAAAAAAACCAAGCAAAATTTTCTTAGAAATGGCCTGAGAACTTCATTCATGAGGGCTTGGAAGGTAGAGGGAGCATTTGTCAAGCCAAAAGGCATGACAAGATATTCATAGTGCCCCTCATGTGTTCTGAAAGCTGTTTTGGTTATGTCTTCATCCTTCATCCTAATCTGGTGATAACCAGATTTTAAATCCAGTTTGGAAAAAATGACTGCTCCTCCCAATTCATCTAGTAACTCCTCAATGATGGGAATGAGAAATTTATTAGGTATGGTCACCTTGTTCAGAGCCCTATAATCTGTGCAAAATCTCCACCCTCCATCTTTTTTCTTTACTAACAGCACCGGGCTTGAAAAGGGGCTGGTACTGTGCCTTATGATACCAGCCTGGAGCATTTCTCCTACAATTTTCTCTATTTCATTTTTTTGATAAAAAGGATACCTATAAGGTCTCAAGTTTGGAATGGCAGCATTAGGTTTCAGCAAATAGCATGGTCATGTTCTCTCCTGGGTGGCAGACCTTTGGGTAAATGAAACACTTCCTCAAATTTCCCCAAAGTCTCATCCCACTCTATTAACTCAGCCTTCTTTTCTGCTGCAACAGTTTTCGCAGTCTGCACATAGAATCCCATCCCCTCATCCTTCAAAGCTTGCATCACTGCTTTCATAGAAACTTGTTGATTGCTTAATGTAGGATCTCCTTGAATACTATACTTCTGTCCACCCCACTCCCACATCAGGCATAAATTTCCAAAGTTAGCCTATATATTTCCCAAACTAGCTAACCAGTCCATACCTAGCACCATATCAGTCCCTCCTAACTCCATCAAGAATAAATTTTGGCTGAATTTCACTCCTTGCAACCAGAAATGCAACTTTTCACACACCCCCTGGAATTTCACCTTCTCTCCATTCCCCACCTCAATTACATATGGTGGTGTTTCCACCAACTGTAATCCCAATATTTTCACTAACCTAGCATCAATGAAATTGCTAGTTGCCCCAGAATCAATCAGGATCAACAGTTCTCTTTCCTTGACTGTAGCCCAGACCTTGAAGGATTTATTAGAAGTTAATCCTTCTTGACTCTGCAAGGAGAGTTGCAAAGTCTTGCATTCCTCCACTCCTCCCACCAAGTCTTCTGTTTGCACCCCTTTTCCTCCTGTTACCTCTTCCTCCTCACTGCTTTCCTCACATAATTTAAAACTCATATGCTTGAATTTGCATATGTGCTCCCTATTCCATTTATCCCCACATTTGAGACACAATCCTTTCTTACTCATTTCTTCTAATTCTACAGGATTCAATCTCCTCCCTCTGAACTTCTCATTACCTCCTCCATTACCTTTATCTCCCTCCCTCCTAGATCCTCCAACCTCTGCAGGATCCCTGATCTTAAAAGATCCTCCTCTATCTCTCCATGAACTACCCTTCTTGTGGACCACCTCATTTTTTTCTTCAATCAACAGGGCCCTATCCATCAAATCTGCTAAACTTTGACTCTCATGGAGTTTTAGTTCAGCTTGAATTTCCTCTTTCAGTCCATTCATGAAAATGGAGTCCAACATAATCCTTTCTTCCCTTCTCAAAGGAGCTACAAGCATTTAAAATTTCTCCATATACTCCACCACCGATCCTTTTTGTCTTAAGTTCAACAAAGGCCCCATCGGGTTATGCAGCAGACCCGGTTGAAACCTCCTCATCACAACTACCTTGAACTCCTCCCATGTCCTCAGTGGGGCTTGCTCCTCCCACCATTGGTACCAATTCAAAGCCTTGTCCTCCATAACCAACACTACCGCGTCTAGTTTATCGCGCACCCTTACACCACTCAAACGGAAGTATCTTTCGACCCGCACCAGCCACCCACACGCGTCCTCTCCCTTGAAAATGGGAATCTCCAGCTTCCTTCTGCTTCCCATGGTTCGCCCCCCTTCGCCACCCCCGTAACGGCGATTTCTGGGTCGAGATTCGTGCGAACGGTTACTCCTTATGCTCCCCTCATCTTCATCGTCGTCGGATCCTCTGTGGTGACCCGGACGCTCCTGAATGAGCTGGCGAATCTGCT